CCCTTTTTGCCCCCATGGACCAGCAGGTCAATTTTCCCCCTTTTAAGAAACTGTACACAAAACTATGTTTCAAAAGTCATTATAGTCCACAGAAAACTCAAAAATTTAAAACCCAAAAGAGTTTTTGGAAGGGTCACTTAATATCCTCAATTGTATAAACCTTAGGGACGGCTTGGGGGGGAGGGGACCTAAAGGCCCTTGAACTCTGCTTGGAAAAAACTGTGGCCTAGAAAGATAACAAAAGGGATTTTGAAGGATTTGAAAGGGTAACCCCGAGAATCCCCCAAAGCAAGGGAAACCCAAATTTTGGCCCCTGGGGGGAAATCCTTTGGGGGTTTGGGGGTTTTGTGGGGGGGAAGTGGAAGAGTTTGGGGGAGGAGGACAGGAAGAACTAACCCTGATGACCCGAAAAAACATCTTCAACACAAGAGGCCACACTTGAGGAAACTCTTCAAGGAGGGGGGTAGAGAAAATTTAAGAAGTTTGCCTAAATTCAAAGAATTAAAGGGAAAAGTGTTTCAAAATGGCTTAAAACCTTTTTTTTAAGACAATCACCCAAAAACAGCTATTCAAGCCATGCTGGGGACTATTACACAAAAATGTTTTTGAAACACTTTTGGGAAAATCAAAAGGAAAAGGGAGGTACAGGCCCCCCTATGGGACAGATATGTTTTTCAACAAAAATCCCGTACTCCAGCTGGTCCTAAGGGGGCCCTTTAAAAAAGAAGGGAAGTAACCCCGGAAAAAGGGCTTGCTACCCAAAGTCCTAAAGGAAAAGGGGGTTTCCCCCCCTTTTAAAACACCAAAAACCTCTCCCCCCCCCCCCAACCCCCAATCAACAACCCGATCTTCAAATTTAAAAGGGAATGTCAATTATTTTATTGTTATTGTAATTATTCTATTGCTTTTTAAAAATTTAAAAATTTTCAGTAGTAAAAAAAAAATTTTTTACATACTTTTGGGTTTTCTTGCACAATAATTTTGAATTTTTCCTTATTCTTATAAGGAAAATTGATTCGGTTTTTCGATATTATCGGGATTTGATAGCCTCAGGGGAAAGGATTAATTTCGAATAAACCGGGGGGGCCCCCTGTAAAAAAGGGGCCCACAGGCCCTAAAAATTACTTAAAAATTTAAAAAAATTTGAAAAAAAAAAAAAGAAAAATAGTATAAAAATAAAAAAAAGTAGCAGGGGTCCCCCATGTTTTCTGTAACGTTCACTTTTCCGTAAACTCAACCCCCGCCTCTAATCCCCGGGAATACGGGGCAATTCTTTTTCTTTTTAAAACCCTTTTTTTTAGGGTCCAAAAGGCCCTCCCCAAGACTTGTTCTCAGGTCCCTCAAATTTCAAAAAAAAAAAAAAATATATTTTTTTCCCATAAAAAAATAGGGAAAACTTTTTTTCCGATCAAAAATGACACCAAAAGTAAAGAAATTTGATGGAAAACCCCACGGGAAATTTTGCCCATCCCCGAAGTTTGCGGTCCCCGACGATGTTTCACATCGGCGAAATTTTGGGCCCCCTTTGAGCCCTATTTTCCCGGGCCCAATTTCCCGTTTTACTAGTTGACAAAAATCATAAACTTTTTTCTAAAAACTTTCCCTTTTTTTCTATCGAATGAATACAAAAAACCGCCCATTTTTCGATTAAAAATCCAAAACAGTGGTCAGAATTTAAACAATTTTGCCAATTTCATACAAATTTCAAAAGATGGCCCAATTTACCAAATTGGGTTCAAAATTTAAAAAAGAAAACATTCCGGCACTAAATAAAAAACTTCCTCTTTCATTAGTCCCTGTTTTCCACGCCCCTGTTACATTCTTTTGCTTTCCCCTTTTTTAATTTTTATTCTCCCCAAAAATAAAAGATTTACTGTTTTTGCAGACTTAAAGCCCTTAGTGTAGAAATGGAAAAAATAATATCGGGGCACCTTGTAAAGAAAAATTTTGACTCCCATTGACGAAATTGGAAACCCCTTTGCCGATTGGGTTTTATACTTTTTAACTTTGGGAAAAATTCAAAGATTTCTGCTACTCTGAGCTCAATTTTTAAGCTACTTTTCCCTTGTAAAAAAACCCGTCAAAATCATCTAAATTTTTTTGTAATTGTCCTTTCCAATTTTATAAAAAAAAGGGCCAGGAAAACTAAAAACAGTGGACCCCCCACCTAAAAGAACACAAAACGCATAACGTTAAAAATTTTGCCCAAAAACAATTTTTAAAAAAAGTAAAAATTTTCCTTGGCTAAAAACTAAAAAAAAAAGCCCAACGATAATTCGTTCCTCCGGATACCAAATTTAAAATCGTTAGGGAAGGGTCCACTGAAAAACAATAAATACCATAAAAGAAAAAACAGTGCAAAGTAAAAGTTTTTTTAAACCAAAAATACTCGTTTTTTTTTTTCATTTTGCACTGGGGTCTGCAAGTTTTTTTTTTATACTGGCACCCCGACCCCAAAATAGAACCATTCCCTTTTATATGTAAGGGGCCCACAAGCTTTCTCTCACTTTGATTTTAAGGCACAAAAATTTTTTTCATACTACACTCAAGGACCCGGGCATAAACCATACTAGTACGGGCCCAAAAAAGAAAGGGTTTTAAAAAACTCAGAAAAAAATTATTAAATTTTGGAAAAAAAAAAAAAATTTTTTATTATCTTTGACACTGAGAGCAAGTTTTTTTATCAGGAGTCCCCCACAGTGAAAAGGGGGAAGCAAACAAAATTGCTTGAATGACCCGAAAAGAATCCCCGGACGCAGTGGAACCCCCGACTTTTTGGAGTTTAAATCCCCCTTTCCCTGACCTAGCTCGGGTTTTCCCCCAAATTTTCTTGTTTTTTCATAAACAAATTTTTCCCCATATAAATTTAACGAAATGCCATTAAACCAAATTTCCCGGGAGATTCCTGCTTTTCTGGAGGCAGGGCAAAAATACTATGACGCTAATATCAATTCTACGGCTTATTTATCTATCACAATTCACCAGCGTCAAGGTTCCCTGATGTTGGTGAGGGGCTCTTGATCTAGAGAATTAAATCTGCACTCCAGTTCCCTAAATTAATAATAATAATAATACAGGTCTTCCTCAACATTCGCGTTTTCAACTTTCGCAGAGTTCACACAATCACGAATTCCCAACCACCAAATTCCCAGCCACCAAATTCCCACCTGCCAAATCATATTTAAATTTCCCGCCACCCGCGAGTCCCTACTACCCTCCCTCCAATCCCCGTAACTGGCAGCCAGCCCTCCCGCCACTCAGTGTGGTGAGTGTTTTGTTTGTCCATTATTTGCTATTAAACTACAGTATAAATAATGTCAACCCATTCATGACCGCATATTGGAATGACCATTCGGACAGGTACTGGACGGTGACATCATATGTTTACTCTTGAACACGGAAAAGAATCAAACATTTCTGTTACTGCTATTAATAATAATAAATAATAATAATAGTATGATAGAATTAAAGAAGGAAATTGTACAAAAATATGAGGGCTGAAGCAGTGGTGGAGGAAGTGGTTGAGGCATCATCAGTCAGTGTGGCTTTGTTTATGCTGGAGTGAGCATTAGTCTCCGTGCTTATCCAAACATTTCACAATAATTCATTGTGTTTGGTGCTTGTAGATTGAGTGTGACTGGAGTGGTTGAGGCAGTGGTAGAGGCAGTGGTTGAGGCAGCAGTTGAGGCAGCGGTTGAGGCATTGGTTGAGGCAGTGGCTGAGGCAGTAGTTGAGGCAGCGGTTGAGGCAGTGGTATTTAATAACATACACACCTACCATCCGACTTACGACCTGCTCGACTTATGACCACTCAACTTACGACCGTGATTTTTATGCCAAATTTCTAGGAAATAAACAACTATTTGGTTGTACACAGTGTTTTATCCTTAACCTTACAGTATAAAATACAGTACTAAAATAAAAAAGTAAGTAAACATGAAATACCAAAATAAAACATAAAAATAAAATCCCTTACAAAAATGTTTTGTTGATATTCAGTAGTAAAATTCGACTTACGACCATTTCGACTTACCAATCGGTTTCTTTGGAACAGAAACGTCGTAAGTCAGATGAAAGGTGTATTATTAATAATAATAATAATGTTATTATTAATAAACATGTATTAACATAACTTGTGCTTTTACATACAAAAAAGCTCTAAGACCCAAAAGGGGAACACTTTTTAAAACCAAATTAACCTCTAGATTCAGACTCAATGGTCACCAAGGCTAGGTACTCAATTTGTCTTGGCTCATTTGTTTGACAATATTGGTGCTGGTTTTTCACTCTTTTCAAAACACTAGGAAAATGAACGTTTCTCCCTTCACACGGCTAGTAGCCTGGAAAGTGTTCAGGTTAATGGCGATACACTATGTCAACATTAGGTCGAGAGGTTTCTGAGGATACTGCATTTTTAAATGTTTCAAATAGCAGCCTGAGGGCACACATGTTTTCAGGTGGAGGTTTAAATCTGATTCATATACCAGAAAAAATGAACTATTTCTTCAACAAATGTGTCTCTGAACTTTCTGCTGAAAAGGTGTTGTTGCAACTTTAATGCAGTTCTCCTCAATTCTGCCATCTGGCATAGTAGTAATTTTGAACAGAAATCCAAACTTGTCATTTGAGATTCTGGTTGATTTTCTTTTTCTTTTCACTAATTCTGTATCAGTGAATCAGAATGATGAGAATGATGGCTTGTCTTACATTTCTGCCTTGGTAGATACACAATTTTCATTGTCTGGCTCTTCAAAATTGCGTTTCTCTTCCTTGACCGCTGTTGATTCAGCCGGTAACTGTAAGTCTTTCCCAGGAGATTTAGCTTTCTCTTCAAGACATTTCTAAAGCTTCTTCATTGCAAAGTGAGCTTACAAATTCCAACTTAAGTCTGCGTAGAGTTTAGCACAAGTTAGCCATTTCAATTCATTTTTTGAAGTGTCTTGTTCGTTGGCATTTTAACGTTCTCAGTATACAGTCCCAAAGCACCAGAGATAAGGCACAATTGTCAAGAAATCTAGCCAAATTTTGTTGCTTGAGTAGCTGCTGCTTTGATTCTGATTTAGTGTTGATCTGTAGTATGAGTCTCATCTTGCTTTTGGATCAAAGCCAGAACGTATTTCAGCATAGCTGTCTTTCAAAGCATGTGTTGGCATCATGCTGCCGCTGACACCTTGTATGTTGATAATGATTTGATGACATCTCATGAATGTTGACTTGAGTTTACTCCACCGATGAGTTGAAGCATGGGAATAAATTATAGAGTGCTTGTAAAGTCCATAAAATGAAACTGCAGCGATCACAACCAACTCCCGCAGCACCATGACCTCAACAAGATTAGAGGAATGTGTCTGAGCTGGGCACCATATTCTAGCTAGTGGGTTGATTTGACTTGATACGGCTTGACAATCCTTATTTTCACTCTGTCATGTTCTGTAAGCATTGTCGTTGCTCATAATTTTTGGATCACGGCTCATTTCCGAATAGTGCGATCATGTTCAAGCAGGAGTATCCTAGTACTGCATTCATCAATGTTTCTCAATCATGGCCTGAAAGAGGAAATGAGATTTTATAAAAGACGCTCTACAGGCTTACCACTGGAGCTCGACAAGCGACATGAATGTCAACTTGATCTGTATGTGAAATATCTGAGTGTTGAATCTACATTATTGAAAGTATATTTTGCTTCAGTTTCAGTTACAATAAATTCATTGGCTTATAGTAGATGACATGTAATGATACAGTGCCTCTTCCAGGCATTCCCAAGGCGTGAAACATGATGTTGACTTTGGCTATGGCACGATCGAAGGGTGCTACCAAGTTCTTATGCTCCGTGAATTTCATTCTCCGAACAAAAGAAATACCTTCATGTTTTCCACGAAAGCAAGTGCCATATTTTGAGATTAGTGAATTGTTACACTTGGCCACAACGTCTTTTTATGAATCTGAATAGTACGTCCTCGTGCTCACTCTTTTTCAGGTTTGGATTTTCCAAATGAGAAGCAAATAAGTTCTTTTTTCTGTGCTCGATAATACACGGGAGATAATGCAGCTCATGTGTGTGGTTGCGGTCGAGTTTTCATGTTCCTCGAATATGCTTGGAATTTTTAGTCATTGAACCCTGTGTGAAGGTATTTTCTTTGGTAGAAAATAATTGCATGCTTGAACAGTACCACTTTTCCTGAGCTTCAGAGTTTACCATCCATAGATCTTTTCAAGTTTCTGAATTTGCAAGCTTCATTAGAAAACATAGATGACTTTAAACAACGACGAGCTCTCATACTACAGAAATCCTGCCTGATTTCATAAAGTCAATGTTCAGTAGTTTGACTGAAGTTTTCCTGCAATTGAAAGCTATTTCCTTCACTTGACTAAACATTAGTAACCTCCACTTGAATACAACAACAAGGTCTCATTTAGATCCTGATGAGGCCTCAATAAGGAAGTTCACAGCTGACTAGAGACTGTTGACTGGCTACAGAATTATCCAAGGCCAATGGTATTGACACTGGACAGACATTTTTTTACCAAATACTTAGACAATACAACAAACATTTCTATAAAATGAAAAGTTCACAACAAACGGCTTGTTGACTGTGGCTTAGACCAGCACCACTTCTGAAATTCCCATTGATAAAGAAACCACCAATATGAAAAGCAATTTAGACAGGGCTTAATACACCAACGATATTCTTAAAACACTATTCTTTAGTCCTCAACAACGTAATAAAGAAAGCCAACAACTATACTACTCCACTAGAATTTCACTGACTCACAGAGGAGATATAAAAAAGACCTTGAATACACTCTCTCAGATTTCTAGGGACCACAAAAACTGAAAAAAAAACAAGAATATTGTCTAAACTAAACCTAATGAAAACTCACACTGAACAACCCAACAGGCACAGCTAACAAGATATACGACTTCTTCTAAACCATAGGTTCTAATTGCCCCAATACAAACTCACACAGTACAATAGCCATGCCGGGGGACTACCTAGATGGGGAGATTTCCCCAAGATTCCTTCTATCTTGCTCCAAACTGATGCACACGGTAGTCACCGAGATTATAAAGTCACTTTAAATATAACTCAGGGAATCCGTCTCATGTCCACCAGAGAGAAAGATCGTGTACAGAGAGTGGCCCATGTCCTCTAGCCTATACTATCTAATTGCCTTTTTAACAAGTCACTAGATGCTAGCACATTCCGTAATCTATCTCCGTCGGCAGGGTCTACTCAACAAATACATAAATTAGTGTGATAAGTTGTGACCACTACAAGGTTTAAACAACTATAGGACCCAATATCAAAACCTTACCTTGCTATCCAAAATCTTTGAAGAAACTCGTGCACAGGAGGTCTATATTCAATTTTATAAAGTCACATAATAACTTACTCACCCTGGCCAATTTGGATGTCAGGAAAAATAATAGGCACAACGATGCAATTATAAAAATGCTTGATCTGCTTTAAACAGCAATTGGAAAATAAGGTATATCCACTACGAGTTTTTATTGACTAAAGGAAAAAGCTTTTGACACAGTAGACACGCGACATACTACTCCACATACTTGACCATTTATGGTATGAAGAGGACAAGGCGATTGCAATTATTTCAAATCTTACCATTTCTAATAGGTATTCTCTGTATGTCACATTAAAGACAGTCTGCATCAACACAGCACTTTGGAACTGGGAGTTCGCAGGGAATTGTCCGTGGACCCTTCTTCATCTTTTACTTCAATGATCTTTACAACATTATTTCTAGGACACCTGAACCCCATTCCTCTTTGCTGACGACCGTAACTTATGTAATCTTCTCACCCTAATCTTTGCTACATCAACTCCCGTGTTTATAGGAGACTGATCAAAACTATCGACTTGGATTGACAGCCAATATAAAACTTCACGCTTAACGTTGACAAAACCTTACTAACATTATGTTTGGTAGCAGGCAGGATGATGCGCAAATTAACATGAAGATCGACATAACTATATTTACATGCTTAATGAGGGCAAAGTACTAGGGCCTTTAACCTCGACAAAACATGAATTCAGCCCCATATCCAACACATAACAAAAATGTAATCCAAAAATGGTTGATGAGATCCTCTCCATGTTACAGAATACTACGTGCCACAACTGCCCTTCTCACACCATACCATTCACTTATTTATCCAGACCTACCTATGCTTCTGTGCTTCGGGGTTCAACTGCCAGCAACACACCTAAAGCCAATAGAATAACCCAACAAAAAGCGCAGTAAGGTATAATCACTTATAATCCTCATCCCTGGCAACACAACCCCCCACTCTTCATAGATCTAAATTTACTCCCTGTTCAGTACATCCACACTTACATACTGTGCTATCCTAACATCTACAGGACATAACTTCCGATATTAACTTGAACTAAATGCTTTCTTGATAGTTGTGACTGAAACCACTGGCTCAAACACCTGACACAAACATCTCTATGACATTCCCCTTGTGGTACGGGACTAACACCTTTACAAAAAATTAATGTAGTGTCAACGGCCCTAAAATCTGGAACATTCTAACTGAATATTCCAAAACTGCAAGAACACAGTCATCACTTTCAATAACTACCATCAGAAATTCCTTATATTCCCACTGATACACCCTAGTCAAAACATAATAATACGAATACCTCCTGGTGGTTCACACTTACATCATCACCCATTTGTACCTTAAACGAAAGATCAATCTCAATGTCAATAATTAATGAATCTTAACTAGCAAAAATTTGGCCATGTGATACTCTCAAACTGAAAAACTATGTATACGTGCCTAACAAAAGCAACTCTCACTTGCTAAATCACAACTTACGTATTTTGTAACTTTGCCTTATTACATACTTATTCATAGAGAATTCTGTAACATTTTCTTAACCTAAGATTTAATTTAAGTCTGCCCGAAATGCCTAGCCATGCATAGGCGTTCTAGTGGTTCACTCTGTTCAATTATTATTTTACTACATGTAAACCACACAATAACCAATTCTGTAAACTCAGCATTGTAATACTATATGTAGAGGAATAAAGGTTGAATCTGGGATTACATGTGGCCTTGAGCAGGATCTTTTAAGGACAAATCCTGTGGTTGAAATGGTCCGTTGAGACTTTGGAGAGGAGAACAAAAAAGAAGTAGGATGATGGCTTTGAAATAATTGGAGGGAGGAAATTTTCCTTGGTATGATCTGACGTATCGGCAAGATTCAACTGTACATTGAACATCAGAAACTTGTTTTTGTGGAGCTGTATGTGATCTTCTGCAGCTTCCTACCTCTTTCTTTTTCCTGTTCTTCTTGAATTTTCTTCTTCTTTTCATGTGACCCACTCGATTATAGAACGTCCAACATCAACGTTCACGAGTTGATGCCTTATGAGAGTATCACGGTCTGTAATCAGGCAAAACTAAAATTTTTCATTATCAAATTATTATTAAGTTTTTGTTAGGATTATTAAATTTTTTTTTCTCCGTCAATTGGGGGGTATGCCCCTGTAGCCCCCTTTCCTATGGCTGTGCTCACTTAAAATTTCAAAACGTTACCAGCTCTAGGAGGTCATATTCGAACTTTAGCACCATAGATTAGGTTTAGTGATTTGTGGCTACGAATATTTTTCTCACCAAAATTCATCCTCTGATCTCCAAATTACTAAACTGGAAAATCATAACTGAGTCCAAGAACAAATGCAAATGGTATTTATATTACCATTTTCATAACCCTAATTCTAAATTTCATGGTTTCTTCGCGTGATATATGGCCTACCACCATACGTTTTAGGACATGAGAATTAAAGATGCAGGACAATTTTCAGTTTTCAACCTACCAATCGATTTTTGATGTGGCTTATGTGTTTCTGGGGAGATATGTAGCATCTTAGCATTCAATTGAGATACTGTTATTGAAATGTAAAGACTTAAAGGACAGGATCAAAAGTGTTTTAAAACCTACAACGGAAGTCAGTTTGGCGTTTTTAGTTTGTTATTATATAGTATTTTACCAAAGAAGGCGTCTTTCACTGGTCATGCGTCTTTAATGGTCCAAGTAAGCCTATCAAGGTAC